CTTATAAGTCCACACTTCCACTTTATGAACTTATAAAGTCATACCATTTTTAACAGTGTATGTAAAGATTATTTTTTGGAAAAAAAATGAAAACTTACATGGCCGCTTCGGGTACGTTCAATGAAATTGAATTAAGTACCGGTTTGATTGAATTACCACGGCCATATGATAGACAAACACGATTCACTTCAACGGCCACCTGTTGAATTGGATGTTGATCTAAACTTAATGATGATGAAAGTTTTGATTCAATTGATGGCCTATATGCACATAGCTGTACGGTGTTAACACCACCATAACCTACAGCTTCAGATTCGGTTTCGAATGGCATATTTGTTTGTTTGTTTGTTTGTTTGTTGTCGATGATGATTTTTGGATTGATATTGTTGATTGAAAGTGATGATAAAATGATGTTCTCGTTTCGTTTTTTTTGTTTTGTTTTTGTTGCTTTTTGTCGATATTTGTTGTTGTTGTTATTGTTGAACCACGGGCAAAAAAAAATTATATTTCCGTATTTATGAACACAACAACAACGACAAATAACAATATACAATTGGATCAATTTAAATCTAAAAGATGTTATGCAATTTCTAATGGTCTCCAACCGCGCCAAATGTATTAACCGATTATTAAATTTAAAAAAAAACAACAACAAAATTTCAAAAATCAAATTTTTGTTTTTTCAATATTAATCGATTCGATTGTCATCATAATCATCATCATTCTTCGTAACATTCTTTCATAGTTTAATATTCGGTTATATGAATGAAATGTTGACTATTTATCCTACGATTTTCATCACATGAGCACATAAACACATGAAAACACACACACACACTATTGATGTGAATTATTACATTGGATTATCCATTGTAATGTCAAATATGATCTACATTTAAGATGAATAATGATGATGAGGAAAAAAAATTAGAAACAAGAATATGATCAAGATTGTTTTGTCAAAACATTACAAGCCGGAAAAAATATCGCTAGAATCATTGTACACAGATGATCACTATGACGAAATTTCCAACAAAAAAAAACTATTATTATTATCGAATGCCGAATACCGAATAATGAGAATGATTAGCCCACATTAATTTGAATCGATCATGATTAAGATGATGATGATGATGATGATTTCTTCAGATGATACATTAATCTTTAAATTATTAGCATTGATGGTTGCTGTTATTATTATTATTATTATTGTAATCGACAATCATTCCTTTTCGAATCTTCATGCAAAAATTTGGGTTGACAAACATTTAAAAAAATAAACAAATGATGATGATGTTGAACTGGGTGGTGAGATGAATGAAATTGAAAAAAAAAATAAAATGAAAAATTTCACAAAGAGAAAAATAAAAAAATTTTCGGCATCACGTTATATTTTTCTGACAACGATGATGACGATGATGATGTATATGAAGTTCCAATGCTTGACAGGTCCCGTTCCAAATGGAACAACTAATATTTTTTTTCCTATACGGTTGAAATAGAATGTTTTTTAAAAAAAGTGAGGAAAAATTTTTTTTTAAATAATGTCGATGATGAGAGAAAAAACGGTTTGATCGCACACATCGTAACTATTTTAAATACATTCCTCTTCTATCATGATGATCATATCTCATATTGCCTATATTGAATTGTAAAAAATGTACATGTCCAATAACATGTGGATATCGCGATGATATGGAATGAATTTTTGGTCATCTTTAGGATCTAATGAAATTGATGAATCTGATTTTTAATTTTGGCGACAATATTACGACGATAGTGTAATATACAGAGATAGTTAAAGCTTTTGTAGAAGATCAATAATTGTGTTGCATTTATGTGCCGTTGTTTTAAGTTCTCTATTTATGCTTGTATATGTTGTGTGTGTTTCAAATAGATCGATTGCTGTGTTTTATTATTGATCGGTCAGTTTTTTCGGAACACCGACTGTGTCTATTAGAGAAAGAGACAGGAAAAAGAATTGAAGAGAAAAAAAAATGGTAAAAAAACATGTATGTGAAACGGAACATGGACTATGGAATGGCATGTTTAGAATGATCAAGATCTTAATGTTGCTAACAAAAAACAAAATTTAAAAAGAGAAAGTTTATAGACGAAGAAAATAAGAGTGAGAGTGAACATAGAAAAAAATATAATCGAAAGAGAACAAAGTATCGTAGATAATTGTCGAAATCATCAATTTTTTTTTTTCGGAGAGCGATAGAGAAGTTTTAAAATGTAGTATGATGATGATGACCATTTTATGATTTTGAGACGATTGAAATCATTGTTATGACTCCTGTGATAACAGGAATGGATTTATATTTAGACAAAAAAGTACCGCCAGCTAACGAAACTAACTATTGCCCATACCGGACGTGATCATCATTCAGATAGATCGATCGGTCAGTTAGTTTTTTTTTTGCCTTGTTCGTCTGGCTTAGTTTAATGAATAACTTTCTTTAAGGATATTTGAGACATATTATTTGATGGTACAGTAGAAAAAAAACCTGTCAGATCGTATAAATGTTATGGTAATAGAAGCCCGATTTCATATTATCCTAATGAAAAAAAAATATGAAAACTAGCAAATCAAATCAAATCTCTATCTTTCTTAAATCAATCCAGTACGTTTCGGTGACATTCGATTATCAAGAAAACCCGGCAACGATGTTATATAGCCATAGGCAAAACAAAATAAAAACAAAAAATGATGTAAATCATTTCTCAATTATATAAATATATTGGTTCTTATCTGGCTTTATTTCCGGTTTTTTATTTTTTCTGAATGAAAATCTGATTATTAATTGAAATAAAAAATTATTTGATCAAAATCATTGCGGTGACGATTTTTTTAAAATGGAACACTATTTTATTGCTTGATAAAATTTTTACTCACATTTTTTTTGGATACCAATGATTAATGATATATTGAACCCAAAAAAAAAATCATTTTTAGTAATTTGATAAATTAATAAATGATCGGACAGGTTGTTTTATTATCAGATAAATTTCTGAAACTTTGTTACAAATTTTTCTAAAATAATAACTATTTTTGGGTGAATTTGTTGAATGAAATTAATTATGCAACTTCTGATTGTTTGTATACAAAGATGATATTTCATAGGGTTGATTAGATTTTTTTCATTTGATGTTTTTTTGTTTGTTTGTTGGTTAGGATAAATAATGCTGATCAAACACATCATCAGCAGCTGCTGTTGTGGCTACTGTTTGTGAAAAAAATCTATCCATCCATTCTTACTAAATGATTTATCGATGATTGATGCCTGTCTTTGTGTCATTGAATTTGATCCATTCATTCGTTCATTCATTCACAAAAAAAGTAGTCCATTTACAACGATGTTTTTTTTTCATTCAAAATTAATGAAAATAATGATGACAACAACAACAACAATCTGATGTTGTTGATGATTGAACTTTGTAACTTTTTTATTCCATTGTTTCCAAGCGTAAAAAAACAATGAATGAAGCCGATTAAAATATGAATGTTAAAAGATGCATATGAAACAAAAAACTAAAGACAGGCAGACAGATAGACAACAGGTAATCTCGATTGGAAAAAAAACTGCAGAAATCTAAATTAGTATTTTGTCCTAGAACTGATCGAACGACCATTAAAAATAAAAAATAAAATTTTCTAAAGAATGCCGCTTATATTCAAAAATGAAAAATGATTTAGATTCTATTACAATTTATAACGATAATAACAACAAAAATGTCACCATTACATTTTTTAAGCCAAATTTAGTTCACCTCAATTGACCTGCCATACATATATAATACACACTGATAATGATAATGTTGATTGAAGTAAGAAATAAAAAAATGAAAACAAACGCAAATCGTGCCCGACTGAGACTGAAAAAAAATGTCGACCTAGACCGTTAGTGAAAAAAAACCTTACTTGAATTCAAAAGAAATTATTATTATTATTATTACTATTTGCCCAAATAGTTGATTATCGTATTGTTCCTTTTCATCATCATCATCGTTGATAATTATCGTGTGAGTATAGGAAAAATAAATTGACGAAATTTATCTTCGATTGGAAATCCGCATATAAATATGTTATAAAGAGTAAACAAAGTGAGAAAGAGAAAGCGAAGAAAATTTTCCAGTTCACATTGACAGAGAGAAAGATAAATGAATCAGATGAAAATCAATCGGTAGCTAATAAATTTTTTTGTTTTGTTTTGTTTATGATTTGAAATACATAAGTGTTCCGGTCCAGTCAAATCACATTTTCATTTTTTTGTTGTCTCATTCAATTTGATGATGTTTATTTTTCTTTTTATTATTATTGGCGATTACATGCCAAAAAAAAAAAAAAAAAAATCTTCGGATAATATGGGGCAAGATGTTACAAACAACAGAAAAAAAAAAA